GTCTGTCCTACCAAATAAACCAATGGATAAATAATTAGTGTGTACGCGTCAATTGTATCACAAAACTTTTATTTTTACAAAAATGCCGGCTAATAAGAACAACAACAATAAAAGAAAGCAAAAACAAAATGCCGATGAGGCTGTTGTTAGGTAAGTGTTTTAAGGATGGTGGTGGTGGTTATCGCCCGCCACTCGTCGTCACTCTAGTTTGTATATTAAAACTTGTATTTACTTAGAAAAACAAACGGAAAAGAAAATATACCAAAAAAAAATAATATACCAGACGATTTTTTAAATTTTGAAGAATCTCCCTGGGAGTTCGACTTGATTGTGGAAAATATAGATATAGAAGAAAAATTTATTGGATTGCGTGAAATATTATACAAACCAAAAAATAAATTGACATCATTTAATTATGGAATCATTGATCTTAATGATCAAAACATCCAAATTGAATTAGGAACTTCCGTAAAAAATATTTTGAAGAATTTTTAGATAGGTATAAACCAAAAAATACTAATACAGAAATAGCCACTCAGCTATTAAAGGAATTAAATATAGTAAGTAATCACAATAGAAAGTGAAATTAAATAATAATTAAATGAAATTTCTTATACCCTTTATTATTTATTTATAATCACAGACAGGCATGGAAAAGTTGGCAGATTCATTGAATAGTATTAAAATAAATTATAAAAATTTGGATGAAGATGTTTTGTACCTAAAAAGGTTATTCGAAAAGTTGTGAGTATTCATATTTACACTGTTATCATGAAAATTTGATTATTATTAATATTTAAAATTATTTATTTTACATACAGCTTTCATTAGTTATTCTTTTAACTTGGTCTAAAGCCAAGTGTATTTATACCTCTTGGGGCAGTACAAATAATGTGATATGTGCTACTCTATTCTCCAATAATATGCTTATCAACTAATTACTAATTCTAAGTAAATATTTACATCAGATAAGAAGGTTAATAAATATAAATATAGAAATATGAATAGGAATAGTCTTTCATTATGACACTGCGCAATCTGCGGCGTAGCCATTACAATAATATATTTAGTGCATCACATGACTTCTGTAGTAAGTTCGTTCTAATTAGTCAATATTAGCCGGGTAATTGATAGGTCCAAGATTTACTATCTCACAATATCATTAATATTATTAAAATCTCTTTCATCAAAAAAATTATTAGTAATTGATGAATCAAATATATTATTCCTTAATTCATTAATAGTCAACTCTTTACCATAATATTTTAATTCTTTATCCAAGTTAGAAATATAATATGAACGAATTTTACACATTGCTTCAACTTTGTAAATACTTAATTTGGTTCAATAATCTCCATAAATCCACTTTAATGTAGAGAAGTTACGTTCACAAACTGCTTGAGATGGAGATATTGCATAAAGATGTAAGGCTAATTCTTGCAATTGGTCATTGTTTTTATCTGTATTAATACTTAACCACCACATAGTTGGATTTTCCTTTTCTTTATTATAGGACAAATGATATGGTGGAGACTGTCTTTTCCAAGCACGCATCTATGTCAATAATTGTATACACGAATGTTCATCATAACCTTCCACAAACTTGCTGCTGCTTCATATATCTTGTCTAATACATCATTTTTTAAGCCCTTGCCTAAAAAAATAAACAAGTTATTTTCAATTACATAAAAAAGTATATATATACATATATATTTATACAAAAAAAATGCAGACAATGATATAAGGATGAAGCCAATATGAAAGAATATAATAATAATTAGTGAATTCATTAAACCTTCTATTAAATTTCACAGTGATTTCTTGTTTCCATGGATTCATACCATCTATTTGGTTTATGGCAGCAGCAAGCTTAACTAAGCCAATGAAACAATCAGCTAGATTAGCAGATCTTGCTTCTAAAATATTTGTTAATTCTTTTATTGGTTTTAAAATGGAAAAAATTTGTCAACACTTCATATAAAAATCCTCATTTTGTAAATAATTGAACACATTATCATTTGAAATAACAGAAGGATAATTATCAAGAATCTATAAAACAACAATAATTAATATAAGAATTTAACAATAATATAAATTCCAGAATTATCATTAAAATCCTTACCCAATCAAAAACAGGTTTTGATCTTATTATTGAATCCACTGTCATTCCTTTTCTTTATTATAGGACAAATGATATGGTGGAGACTGTCTTTTCCAAGCACGCATCTATGTCAATAATTGTATACACGAATGTTCATCATAACCTTCCACAAACTTGCTGCTGCTTCATATATCTTGTCTAATACATCATTTTTTAAGCCCTTGCCTAAAAAAATAAACAAGTTATTTTCAATTACATAAAAAAGTATATATATACATATATATTTATACAAAAAAAATGCAGACAATGATATAAGGATGAAGCCAATATGAAAGAATATAATAATAATTAGTGAATTCATTAAACCTTCTATTAAATTTCACAGTGATTTCTTGTTTCCATGGATTCATACCATCTATTTGGTTTATGGCAGCAGCAAGCTTAACTAAGCCAATGAAACAATCAGCTAGATTAGCAGATCTTGCTTCTAAAATATTTGTTAATTCTTTTATTGGTTTTAAAATGGAAAAAATTTGTCAACACTTCATATAAAAATCCTCATTTTGTAAATAATTGAACACATTATCATTTGAAATAACAGAAGGATAATTATCAAGAATCTATAAAACAACAATAATTAATATAAGAATTTAACAATAATATAAATTCCAGAATTATCATTAAAATCCTTACCCAATCAAAAACAGGTTTTGATCTTATTATTGAATCCACTGTCATGCAAAAAGATCCCCATCTAGTTTTCGTATAAGATTTAATTTCACCACCTTTGATTTTCATTGCCTTTAACTGTTCTTGATAATAACCATGTGCAATATGAGATGATTGAAAAAATTTTAAAATTGCAGAACAATTTGAAATAATTGGTTTAATTGACTCCAATTCACAAAAATCTGAAGCTATTAAATTTGCTGCATGTGTGGCACATTGAAAACTCAAAACATGTGAATATGATTCATTTATTATTCTTCTTGCTACTCTTAGATTTGATCCAGAGTCCGTCACCACTGCAGCAAATTTATGTAATCCAATCTTTTCAATTACCCTTGAAATTTCATTTGCCATGAACTCACTGGTTTGACTGACTGTGTTATAAATTTTTAATTTAATTAAATATTCTTTACGTTTGGGTGTAGTTACTACATAATTATATATTGAGTCATGGGTGGGAGAAGTCCATCCGTCAAGACCTAATTATAATGAATAAAAAACATTTGTAATTAATATTTAAGAAAAAATTGGTTTTTAATTCTAATAATCCATGATATAACAACCCATTATTTTAAATTATAAATAAATATGTACTCAATGTAAGATTTTCTTCATTATCAAGCTCAAACTCAACTTTTTGTTCTATCCGTGCAGCTTCTGACTCCAAAAGAAATCCAGATAATTTTTCTCTGGATGGTAAATTATACCCAGGTGCAGCAATTTGAAATAAATCAATTATAAAAGGATTTTCTATGGTATGGAAAGCAAAACCACAACAAAACCAAGCTTTTAGAATGGCTTGATCCAATAAATGGGCTTTTGCAGATGAAATTGGAGTATTAGAATGGAAATGACTGGTAATAGTTGGTTGATTTATGGTTCGTTTATTTTTAGTATTAGATGAAGTGTTTTCGGCTAAATAATTACGCCATAAGTTTTTTATATTTTCTGGGACATCTTTACAGATTCTTGCTAAATGCACTTTCATGTCTTGCAGTCTTCCTCTTGTCCACCCTCCTCCACACCACTTGCATGATGCTTTATAGTGACCACCACCTAATGATTCTCCTTTATTCACATATTCCCAGATATCATCAAGCCTTCTACCACCTTTTTTTTTAATTGAAGAACTAATTTCATCTCTATTTAACAAAGAAACATCTTCAGCATCAAGTTCATAATTATAAGATGGTTCAAGAAAATCATTTATATCATCCCAGTGAGAAGTTGTCATATTATTTTTTTTATGTTTATTATTATATACCACTACTATAATTATATATTTTTAATAAAGGAGTGATTATTCTAATAATTAAAAAAAATATATTGTTGATGTAAAGAATTATTTTCAAAACGAATTGGACATTCTTATAACAAATACTTTGTATTAGTAAAAATATGTTATTTATTCTTTTTAAAAATAATCTTATTTATTTATATGAAGAAAAATACAGATAATCTCATCTATCTGAATGTTCCTAAGCATAATTAGTAAAAATATAAAACTGATTTGTTTGACAATAATGTTTAGAATTGTACCAATTATTTAACAAATGTGGCTGATTATGACTTAACATTAGGATATTCTTGTCAATTAATTGCAATAATATTCGGTGCTTACCAATTAATTAGTTACAGTTGAAAAGTTCGCTTTATTAACATCAAAGAATTTTTTTTTTAAAATTTTTTTTCCTATGTACTAGCATTAATTTAGTATGATTTTCATTTCACCAGTTGCGCCAAAGCCGATTGGTGAATGGTGCAATGTCGAAACCGGCGTAACTATCTGAATAGGTTCCACCAGCAACCTTACGAATTACAAAATTGCTATTTTGAAATTTGGCTATATGGCGCAGCAATAGGAGGTCTTTAGACCGAGCCAACCATATACGCATGCATAAAAATGAGAAAAAATTAATTTTAACTATTAGTCATCAATCCTTTTCCGCACTTAATTTCTTTTATTGCCATGCTTTAGAGTTGCTTGGTATTACACAACATCACCTTCTCGTTTTAAAATACCTACAAGCAATATTACTTTTTTTACTTCCTCTTTATAAATCATTTATTTTTCGTAAGTTTGAGTATTTAAATCATTCAAAGATGATGAATTTGATGATGGTGTTTTCAGGTTTAGAGCAGGACTACTACACACAAATATAATGATAATAATCATGATTGTCTTATTAATTTCTGATTGCATAATTTTTTGATAAGTGAAAAATGAAAAACAATTTATTTGTTTATTTATTCATTTATTTATTTTATTCATTTATTTATTTATTTATTTATTTATTACGTTGATAATTAATTTTCTAATGATTTTTTTTACATACTTTTTTTTACAAGGTATTTTTTTTTATTACATCAATTCTTTCAAGCCATTTTGGTTCAAGAGATTTAACCTTTTGTACTCATCAATAACATGTCTATCTACCTTTATGCAATCAAAATCAAAAGATAATATACCCAGAGAATCCCACGAAGGTGCCCTACTCATCGTCACATATCTGTCCTGTGGCGAACATATTTTCATCAATGGATACAGTTGAGTGTGGCTGTGTAAGGCCTTGTGTCTTGTGAACAGTGAGTGCAAATGCATTCTGAATTGGAAATTGCTTCCTGGATGCTGGTATTCCATTGATAGTGAAGTATATGATTTCTCTTTGAACATTTATCTTTAAATATTGTTAGCTGTGGGGAAAGCGACCTCGACATCATTATCATCAATTACCTTGGCAATTACTCATGTTCAAACAATTTATTATTTAGGAACATTATGCGAGCACCTCCAATAAATATCATAAAAGAATCCTGTATATCCTGGATCATGATGTCTTCGTTGGAATTAAAGACTGAATGTAAAGTCCAAAAAATCATCATTGTTAAGTCTTGAAGTTACCATACCATTCAAAATGTTAGATCCACTCACAGACTTTACAAATGTGATTGTAGATAAGATGGAAGACATAATTATTTAAGAGTTTTTATTTTTTATTTTTTATTTTTTTTAGATGTGGTTTAAATTATTTTATGAGTATCAAATATTTTCTTTGCATCTAGTAGCACATTCAATTAACTTTTTTACAAATTTTTTTCATCCAAGAACAAACATTGATTTTTCTTCACTAGCCAAATCGTAAAAATCAGTAATTCAATGAATGGCAGCACAAGAAACATATGTTAATGTAGACATGACAATAAACGTGTCCACATGTGAAAAAAAAAGAAAAACATAAGGTATAAAAATAAACACGTAGTGCATAGGTACGTGTTCTTAACAATTTCGAACACGTCAATTGACAGCAAACAACAATCAATGATGGGTGTGGGAACACATGTTAACATTGCAGCATAGATGACATGACAATAAACGCGTCCGCGTGTGAAAAAAAAGGAAAGACATATGGTGTAAAAATAAACACGTACGTGTCCTTAACAATTTCGAACATGTTGATTGACAGCAACAACAATCAATGATGGGTGTAGGAACACATGTTAACATTGCAGCATGTATGACATGACAATAAACATATCCACATAGCATAAAAAAAAAGAAAAATGTATGGTGTAAAATAAACACGTAGTTGCATACATGTTCTTAACAATTTAGAACACATTGAATGTTCACCAATGATTTCGTAATAAACATGTTGATTGATCAATTAGTTTAAAAGTTAGTTGTTAAGTAATTTCCGGTCAATTAAAATCATTAAAAAAATTTTGTAATTTTGGTTTTTCTTATCTGATGATTTTGATGTTTTTGATGAGCGTACCAGTACACAAAAAAATACATAATAATAATAACAAGGTTACAACTGAGAACGCAATGTGAGCTTTTGCTTTTCGTGTTACAAAACACGCACATCGTGCTACGCGAGAATAAATATTCAATCAAGTTGGGTTTTGCATCTTCTTCGTCGCAAAGAGCAAAAAAATGACATCACTCGGGCCAAGACAATAGTCTATTTTATTAAATCCGAAACATATGAATAGGACAGCTGTCTAAACTTTTTTTTTTGTTATTTTTCATAAAGAAATTACTCTCAGGCCATTTCAGCGCACAGAACTCAACCTTCTACATTTGACCACATAAAATAATTGTCATTATTATTATATATACAACATTATTACAGGAGAGACCATTGATTAATTGATCAATTAAAATCATGAATTTAAAAATAAAACATTTAATGTGGGTTTGATTCATTTTGTCAACAATCACTTCATGAACAATTGTTTCATTAACAAATGGCGAAGTTGGAAGCAACCATGTGACTAAACTTTTGAAATAGTCTAATAAATTAAATTGTACTACTTGAAAATGTATTTAAAGGGTTGGTTTTTGACTTGGTTGAAGAATAACTCTCTTTCTAACTCTTCTCTTGACCATATCTCTCAATATAATCAAAATAACCTTAATATAACAAATTTCAAAATGATTGTAAACGTGACCAATTTAAGATATACGATCAAGAGGAAAACAGTGTTACAAAAACATGTAATGTATGAACCCCTATGTATGTAACGTATGTATTTTATTTCCATACATGTATGAAAATGCAGATCATACATACATACATTTTTATTAAATTAATATAATAATAATATAATAAAAATGTATGTATGTATGATTTTTTTCTGCATGTATGAAAATGCAAATCATACAAATGATGCAAGTCACTTAGTCCCACAACTTTTTATTGGTTGTGTAGTAGAGGCCTGCATCAGGTTGGGCAGGTTTGGTCTTGATGTCAAATAACTGTGGGTTGGGTTCGGGTTGTAACTTACAACAATTAATGACCCAAACTTGACCCGAATTTAAATAATTTCTTGGCAAAAAAAAAAATCTTTAATATATATATATATTAATAAATATAATTTTTTTTTTTATGATAAATTTTTTTTATGATGATAATAAATTTTTTTTTTTATTTTGTTTAGAAGGTTCAAAACAACCAACACTACATCTAATAATACCTTGGTACAAAGCTTTATAGATCATTGTCAAGTGATAACTTCTGATAATGAATTTACGAAAAAATTAAAACTAGTAGTTGCTGAAAATTAATTGAAAAAATGAATTACATAAATTAGCCATTTTTTTCAATCCTCTTATGAAAAAATTAAAAATATTGGAGTCTGGTGATTCCACCTGGGTAAAAAATGAAATTAAAAGACAATGTGATAATCTAACAATTAATGATGATGGTGTTGGTGCTGACAGTAATAATGATGATGATGATAATTGCATGCAAGCAATATTATCAACTACAATTTCAACTTCAAATTCAAATGTAGAGTTAGGTGATTTTAGTAAATATTATGATGATAGTGATGATGAAGATGATGACAAAGATGAAGTTGATTTGTATTTATCAACAAAAATACAAAAAGATGACAACTTTAATATTTTAGAATGGTGGAAAGACCATCAGCATGTTTATCCAAGACTTTCAAGGCTTGCTGCCTATTATCTTTCAATCCCATGTTCCAGTGCACCTAGTGAAAGAGAGTTTAGTGCAGCCGGACTTACAATCAATGAACTTCGCTCAAACTTAAATCCACAAACAGTTGATAGTATTCTTGTATTAAGAAGTTCATTAAGCAATTAACAACTTTGTAAACTTTTTTTTTAAAAAATATAAATAAAATCATGTTACAACATCATTTAATAAAAAATGGGTTGAGTTTGGGTTTGGATTGAAATTTTTTGTATACAAGTTGGGTTTGGGTTGAGATTTTTATAATTTTTTGTGTACAAGTCGGGTTTGGGTTGAGATTTTTATAATTTTTTTGTGTACAAGTTGGGTTCGGGTTGCCAATTATAAATTTGTACAGGTTCGGGTTGGGTATTTATTCAATTATGATGATTGTACATGAAGTTGAAACTATTTTGACCATTTGCAGATCTGTTTGAAATAGGGTTGAAATAAGGTCGAAACTGATTTTTACTGTGTAGTTGCCTCAAGTTGAAACATTTTGACTTTGGGGTTTTAATTTCGACTTCATGTATAATGATGACCCGTGCAGGCCTCTATTATGAATAATAAATCTGATGTTGATCATAGGTGTCAGATTTAATTAAATTTCCTACCACAAACATGCAAGACTGTGCAATTAAGCACAATTCAGCACCATGGAATTTTTTCCCACAGGTGAAACAGACTTAAACATGTTGGAAGGCTTGGACAAAATTTTCCCCTTTCTTCCTTTCAGACCAGGCTTGACTGTGGAATGCTTGCTCACCAACAACCCTACCCCCATTTATTTAAATAACAAATTCAGTTGGCCAAATAAAAATTAAAGAGAAGCAGAAAATGATTAATTTATATGGAACATACCAAACAAAATCTGAACCATTTTATTTTACAGCTTTCTCCTTGCTGTTCCTCTGGTGTCATATAACCTAAGCCAATCACCGTAATTAAATCAATCTTAAAACTAAGAAGCTGGACAATAAATAAATACTTAATGGTCAAAAAATTAAAATTAAAAACCAAGAAAAGCATATGGGTGATAAATAAACATTTTCACAAATTATTAAATAAAAATAGAAAAAAAATGGAATGACGTGGTAATAATTTAACTCGTTTAATATTAATGCCATGATTTAGGGTTTTTTCCAATCGAAGAAAAAAAAGTTTATAACAGGGGATGTAGAATTTTATTTGGGGCATACTGCAACAAAATCGAACATCGTGTCACACAGAATTACAGGGATCAAAAATGTAGTCATCATCATAAAATATCATCTTTTAAAACATTTTTTCAAGTCTTATTTGTTATCTTCATTTTTTTCTGTATCAGTCACAGGTATAGATGAGTGTCTAAACTAAATTATTTAGACAATGTCTGAAACATAATTAATTTAGACATTTAGACAATTGAGGCCATGATTGTCTAAAATGTTGAAGTTGAATTTTTATTGGATAATTTACTGAACTTTGTGGATTTGTGTATACCCACATGACTTTTTGGGGTATTCAATATTGGTTGATTGTCAAATCTGATTAATACAGTCTGGGATTATACCATAAATGGAAATCAATTCTAGAATAATTTACAATCACACCTTGAAACTTAATTGCCTTTGATGATTTTTTCTACAAAAAAAATTTTTTTTGAGCCATTCTTGTAAGCCTAAAGAAGGTACACATCATATAATAGTACCATAGTTTTATAATATCAACAAGCTCACCTAAGTACACAGTTTAATAATCCACTTTAATCCATAAAGGTTTACATATTCATGTGTAATTATAGAAATTATTCAAATTTCTACAATGTCAAATACAAGACAACCAGCTAAAACTTTACCATGTTTGTTTAAAGACACAGTTGATAAATATCCAGAGAGCCAATTACAACCATGTAAACTGGCACACAAACACGGAAGCATGCATCAGTGCCTGCTGCAGTTGAAAAAGTAAATAAATAGGGAAGGTAAAATGAACCAAAACAACATCACCATAAAAATTTTACTACTGAGTCCTAATTCCAGCTAAGTATCTCCCTGAATTATCTTTATTAATAATTGTTTAGGAAATTATTCATTACATATAACTGACAATTTTTACCAGAATCTTTTAAATTCAGATCTAAGTTCAGACATACATTCAATTCAAAAAAACAAAAGTGTTTGGCAAGATATACCGGAAACAGATTCTGTTATATAAACCTTTCTTTTAATATCCATCCACTCCTGCACAAACCATGTATACATTCCATCTTTAAACTTGGAAGACAGATCAACAATTGAAGAAAGTCCTAACCTGTATTTACTATATTAGACATTTCTTTTATCAATAACCTATTTCGGAGAAATAAGAACATACTGAATAACACTCTTCATAAATTATGTTTGTTTTTTTGTCTTTTTCCAAAATAATTTCACCATCTCATTAGTCTTGGTATTAAGAACATCAACAATTAAACAACCATCCTTTAGTTTCCATTAAATTCTGTTTTACTTTGTTTACCAAATGATACTTCATTTATATCATTAGAGAACATGCTATTTTCCTCATTATTTTCTTCATCTGTTTTGTCACCTTCATCAAATTCATTATCAGAATCTATTAAAGAAAAATGGGGTGGTGATGGAGCATTACTGAATACACCAGCTTTGGTAGGTGATATTTCAAACTCATCAAGATCTTGTGATTGTACAGAGAGATCTTTTGTCATCTTAATCTGTGTAAATTTCACAAGGTAAGAAAAGATCCACGGAGAGTCAATTATTACCTGTCCTGACCTTCTTAATATCATCTGAAGAAACTGAACCTGTATCATCATCATCTATAATTGATTCTGGTGGTTGTTTCCCAACATTCTTCTGTAACAATGCATAATGAAGTAAATAACCATTATTTTCTTTTTCTTTTTCTTTTTTTATCATTCACCATCACACTTATCCTTACCAATGTCATATTGACCCTTCTGATGGCAGTTTGAAGTATTGCTATGATACTATTCATCACAGAACAGGCCACACCAACCTGCAACCAAACCCTATAAAAAATTGGCACAGAAATGTATGAGAAAATGTACAGAAAACTGTATGGAATTTTACCTGAAATTTGCATTTTTCCATACAAATTCCATGCATTTTCCTGTACATTTCTGTGCCAAATTTTTATAGGGAAAAAATGACATTCAATATAGACAATCAATCAAAGAAAATGCTTTAAAAACTTTCAAGAAACTAAACCTAAAGCTCCTCACAAGCTGGCTTGTGAGCCAAATAACTTATTCAGCTTCATCAGGAATTTTTTTTCTGACACAGATTTACATAATTATTACACTATTTATGTAAGTTTATGGTGGGCCCCATAATATTATGCAAAAATCATACAAAAGTTATCCAATTATTACATTGAGTGTAAATATTACATAATTTTTTATGCGAATATTACAACTTTACATATTAAAATTTATGGATGTGATATCACAGTGGGGAAAATTTCCTGATGTTGTGAGCTGGCTCATTAACTAAATCTTGATCAAATATAGCCTTTTTCCCTAATTTTGATTTTTATATTAGCAGGGTTGCTTTTGATATTAAATAGCTCTCTGAGCTTTTAAATACCACCTATTTATTATATTTTCATGCACTATATTGTTGAAAATGGGGGAAAAATAACAATTTGAAAACTGAACATTTTTTTGCAAATTTTGGAAATTCAATATGTGGTATTCCAATTATTAAATTCATTCTCTGATTTTTTAGTCAATTTATTGATGTGATTATTGCATGATGATGCATGCAATAACTAGTTTATTGTATGCCTGTCAACATCAGGAAATTAATTTAGCGTAAACTTGCATAAATCTTACGATGCCGACGTAATATTGTGTAAATCTTACAGTGCCGACGTAAGTTTTACACTTTTTTATTATTAAACTTACAATTGACATGTGTAAAATTTTTTTATATTTTCCGGATGAATGAAGTTATGTTTATTGTTTTTTTTTTTAATTAATTGACTTCATCCAGAAAATATAAAAAAATTTGCACATGTCAATCATAAGTTTAATAATAAAAAAGCGTAAAACTTACATCAGCATCATAAGATTTATGCAAGTTTATCTAAATTAATTTTCTGATGCTTCTTTATGATCTTAAATATTAAAATGACAGAATCCTTTGTACCATCATTAGAATAGATAAAAGAAATTCAATCTTCAGGCATTCTGGAAATCACAAAAAAAAAATACAACTTTCTGGGTGAATGTTTTACATAAATACAGATCAAATCATGAATTTACAACTCCAATAGAAGAAAGTCAAAACAAAGATCAACTTGAAAAAGAACTTTACCAGTTTGTATATTAATAGTGATAAACTTATTGATAATAAAAGGATGGGAGTGAGTATTTTATTATTATTATTATTAATGCATTACATCAGGAAATTAATTTAGCGTAAATTTGCATAAATCTTATGATGCCGACGTAATATTGTGTAAATCTTACAGTACCGATGTAAGTTTTACACTTTTTTATTATTAAACTTACAATTGACATGTGTAAAATTTTTTTATATTTTCTGGATGTATACCACAAACACACAAAATGCTCATACTGTTTCATTTTTTGTCATGTTATTATTAAAAGTATTTGCTTTTAGGGTATCAATAAGATTGATAAACATTATTTGAATAAGCCATTCAAAAGATCCAAATCACTTGATTCTACTAATACAGTCGGGATTATTACCAAATATGGAATTTCCAAATACTGTACAATGCAGATCATTTAAAGACATCAAAAAAATAGGCAATCTTTAAAATGTTAAGGCTCAATAACTATATTTGGAAGTGGAAAAAACTCTATTTTTTGCAATCTAATGGACTTAAGGAACAATGTAATAGAGAGCTTTTTTCAATATTATTAATTAAAAAAAAAGCCTTAGTGGTTTGAAGTTGCACGATTTTGCTAATAAAAATGAAATTTGACCACCGGCAATCTTTCCTTAAAAGGAAATGCCAGTAGATTTACGTGATCGAACCAATTGAAAAAATTATATATAATGACGATGATAACAGCAACTTTGATGATGGAACTTTTTTTACAACCTCTATCAGAACATCTAATGCCTTATCTAAAATTTTTAATTGGTGGTATTCAAAAATTATCATTGCTGTTATTATTGTTGTATTTGATATTATTATTGCTATTAATATTATTATGTTGAAATTTAAAAAAAAATTTTTTGTGAAAGAGATATATTATGTCACCGGTGTCACCAATGAATATCATCCTATTTTGGGACTTGAAAATTTGGCCACGAGGCGCAGTATTTGATGTCTTTAGATGGTATGCACTATATTAATTTATCATAATGATATTACAGTCTAACCTTGTCATAATGAGTGTGTGGGACTGACAACCTAAATTCGTTATGAAAAACAAATTATTTTTGACAGAGTCCAAGGTGACAAAATGTGAGTGTTGTTGTTGGTCTGGTTTGGGTCTCCTAAAGAAAATGTGTTAATAACTAACCAGAGGTACTTTTTTTTTATTTGTATTGATATGTCTTTTAAATCAAAATGCAGAACAGAACTCACTGGGTAATTACAAGATTTTCATTGATAATATTTTGCTTTGTGTAATCATAATCAATATTAATAATAACATTAATATTATTATATTATTATAATTACAAGATGTCAAGGCAGCACACCATTTAAAAAGAAACATTTTGAATATGTGATGTTTGATTATTGGGAATTAGCAGATGTTGAAGCACGCATGCTACCTTGAACACTTTACAGTCATTCTCACGTATTCCTCATGTACATAAGGCTAATCTGACCTGCACCGCCTGATGATATGATGATGCAACTGAATTCCATGGGGGTGGGCATGGCCCTGGAGTTTACCAAGACTGCATCAATCATCAATGACACTTTCACTAATCTTCCCAGACCAGAGAAGGCTGCTGGCATGCTAGCTGAAAAGTTGCCTGCAATGATCCTACCCTAGGGTTAGGATGGCTCTGTGACCAGGTTGCAAACTCTGGAGGAATATCAAGAGAATCTGCAATTCATTCCAAGCACAGGAAGTTGCATCCAGAGCAGAGTTGGTGGCCTTGAAATTGCACTTGGACTCTGATGTTAAGAGGAAAGTTGTAAAATAGTGTCTGTTTTGTATAATCATTTTCATAAATGCTCTGTTTCTCTGATACTAACCAATTTATAATTTTGGGTAGGGGATTGAACTAGGGTTTTGCCCAATCAGTCCCCTGTCCTGTAGGTTAAAATTATCACATGATTATATACATCTTTGTCACCAATGTGGCCAACAAGAAAAAAGTCATAAATTGGTTCAGATTTTGGTATGTTATAAATTAATCATTCCTAAATTCTCTGCATCTCTTTAATTTTTTATTGGTCAACTGAACTTGTTGTTTTTTTAAATGGGAACTTTTCCCATATAACCTCCCACCTTAGGTTAAAGGAGTGTAGTTCAATGAGAGCATGTATCTTACAAGTATCCCTTAAACTGTCCACATTTTTGAATAAGGGAATTTCGAAAAATTTTATTGGTAAATTACAAAATTCCACCAATCAAAATTAACCAAATCGCACAATAAAAAATTTTATTATGAATATATCAATTTTTAAGGTAATGATCGACACGGGCATTGTAGACTTT